CCTCTTGGACCGTCTTGGAGGCTTCTTGGGGACTTCTTGGCCCGTCCTGGGGCCCTGTAACAGGGCTCCAGTATCTCTGGCCCGACCTTGCCGGGACCTTGCCGGGGACTTGCCGGGGACTTGCCGGGACCTTGCCGGGGTACTTTTCGTCCGGGGACCCCCAGGGGCCGCCCCGCGCGCGCGAACGGGGTCGCGACGGGTTTATTTGGACAGTCTCTTGAGTACCTCATCCCGCTTCCTGAGCAGTGCGAGCATAATGGCGTCATGCATGCCACATCGTCGGCATCCTCCTAAGAGTCCACTGGCGGCTCGTGACAAGTTGTGATTCGCACTCGCGCATCAAAAAGCACCCTTGACAGCGGGCTTTGTGGGCGGAGCTCGGGGAAGCTGCCAATGTCTGGTGGTCGAGAGTCACTGTGCCCCCCCTCTCTCTTGCAGGACACTGTCGCCCATGCATTCCCGATGAGATTAGGATTTTTCTCTTGTGCCAGTCTCGAAGTCCCAAGACTTCTGCGCGCGAGTATCGAGGGAAAGGGCGCAGCAACATCCGCACTCGCTCACCCAACCTCTCCCGCCACATCACTGGCGCTGCCACTGCCTTGCGTGACACTTACTAACTTATCTACGGTGCTTTTCCCGCGCCCCCACAGTCTTTGATGCAACTCCCTGGAGGGTGAGTTCAGCATCGGCGCTGGTATATCCGTGGTCGAAGACCAGCCTGATCTTGCCGAGTCTCGTTGAATCCGGTTCAGTCCCGGGCTTGAGCTGGGCTTAGCTGGGCTAGTGGCGTTAAACAAAAACAATAATCATTAAATACAAATAGTATTACTATACTTATGTATGTGTATATATATATATAACTATACATGTGTGTGTGCGCTCAATTTTTGAAATCGTGCGTATGAAGACCTCCCAGGAGTTGGAGGCAAGGGGTGGGGCGCCGAGATCTGCACATGCCTCTGGCCAGGCCCGTCCTGGAACCGCAGGTGCGGTGCACGTGCCTGCCTGCCCGAGCCAGGAGGGCGTGTATATATATATATATATAGTATATGTATATATATATATATATATATATATATATATATATATACATATATGCACCGCTCTGGGGCCCAGGCGGGGCTTGGCCAGCGCAGGGCTCGTTTCGATTCCTCCGATTGAATTCGATTCGACTTCGATGGCTTCCGATTCCGATTCGATTCGACTCGGGATTCCGATTTGCGTTCTGATTTCCTACTGGAACCATACTAGCCTGCCGATCTCCGCCGGCTCGGCTTTTCCCGACTCGGCTGCCGATGTCCGCCGACCGATTCATTCCGATCTCCGAACCGACTGAGCGATGCGATGCTGGGCTCTCCTGGCAGTGGATGCATACCCAGACCTGCGATGTTCTGAGTTTTCCAGTGCGGGTTCCCTGGAAGCCCGATCCGACTCAGCGATGCGATTCTGGGCTCTCCTGGCAGTGGATGTATACCCAGACCTGCGATGTTTTGAGTCTTCCAGTGCGGGTTCCCTGGAAGCCCTTTTGCCCCTTCGCCGCGGCTGGCTCCCCGCCCCGAGTCTTTTTCTTGACGGTCCCCGGGGCCCAGCAAGGGGCCTCCAGGGGCAGAGAGCGGCCAAAGGCCTCCCGTCCCGATGTTTCACGACCCCGGACGCCCTCCGATGCTTTTTTTTCCCATCCTGTGGTGCTGGGTCCTCGTTCTGAAGAGACAGCGCCCCGCGTCTCCTCCTCCTCTCCTCCTCCTCCTCCTCCTCCTCCTCCTCCCTCCTCCCCCTCCTCCTCCTCCTCTCCTCCTCTCCTCCTCCTCCTCCTCCTCCTCCTCCTCTCCTCCTCCTCCTCCTCCTCCTCCTCTCCTCCCTCCTCCCATCCCTGCATCGCCTCTGTTTCGGCACACCCCTCGCGCGTTTCGTGGCCGTGGGGAGCTCCACCGAAGGTCTCAGCGGTGCAGTTCGCACGTGGGCGTCACGCCCGTTTCGGTACACCCCTCACACTTTTCGTGGCCCCGTAGGGAGCTCCACCGAAGGTCCCAGTGGTGCAGTTCGCATGTGAGCGTCACGCCCGCTTCGGCACACCCTTCACACGTTTCGTTGTCCCATATGGAGCTCCACCCAAGGTCTCAGTGGTGCAGTTCGCATGTGAGTGCCATGCCCGTTTCGGCACACCCTTCACACGTTTCGTTGTCCCATATGGAGCTCCACCCAAGGTCTCAGTGGTGCAGTTCGCATGTGAGTGCCATGCCCGTTTCGGCACACCCCTCACACGTTTCGTGGCCCCATAGGGAGCTCCACCGAAGGTCCCGTTGCTGCAGTTCGCTTATGGGCGTCACGCCCGTTTCGGCACACCCCTCACGCGTTTCGTGGCTCCGTAGGGAGCTCCACCGAAAGTCCCAGTGGTGCAGTTCGTTGGTGGGCGTCACGCCCGTTTCAGCACACCCCGCGCACGGTTCGTGGCCCAATAGGGAGCTCCACCGCAGGTCCCAGTGGTGCAGTTCGCATGTGAGCGTCACCCCCGTATCGGCACAGCCCTCACACGTTTCGTGGCCCCACAAGGAGTTCCACCGATGGTTCCAGTGGCGCAGTTCGCATGTGTGCGTCACGTCGGTTTCGGCACACCCCTCACACGTTCTGTGGCCCCATAGGGAGCTTCACAGAAGGTCCCAGTGGCGCAGTTCGCATGTGTGCGTCACGTCGGTTTCGGCACACCCCTCACACGTCTCGATGCCCCATAGGGAGCTCCACCGAAGGTCCCAGTGGCGCAGTTCGCATGTGGGTGCCACGCCCTTTCCGGCACACCCCTCACACGTTTCGTGGCCTCATAGGGAGCTCCACCGAAGGTCCCAGTGGCGCAGTTCGCATGTGGGTGCCATGCCCGTTTCGGCGAACCCCCCACACGTTTCTTGGCCCCGCAGGGAGTTCCAGAGGTCCCAGTGGCGCAGTTTGCATGTGGGCGTCACGCCAGTTTCAGCACACCATTCACACGTTTCGTGGCCCCATGGGGGGCTCCACCGAAGGTCCCGTTGCTGCAGTCCTCATGTGGGCGTTACGCCCGTTTCGGCACACCCCTCACACGTTTCGTGGCCCTGTAGGGAGCTCCACCCAAGGTCCCAGTGGCGCAGTTCGCATGTGGGCGTCACGCCCGTTTCGGCACACACCTCACACGTTTCGTGGCCCTATAGGGAGCCCCACCGAAGGTCCCAGTGGGAGGCTTCACATGCACCCCCCCACCTCCCCAAATCGGCACGCCCCTCATACGTTTTGTGGCGCCATACGGCGTTCCACCGACGACGATCATCGCACCTGCGGCACTCACATCTGCATATGGTTGGGTCCTTCGCCAGGCTAATTTTCGATCCGCGGCCCCAGAGACCTCGATCCCTTTCTGGGGGTCTTTTGTTGTCGCAGATCCGTTTTTGATGGTCCCTGGGTCCGATGGCAGGCCCCAGATGCCGAAATCGATGAAACACCGCCGGATTGAATTTATCTGGGCGAAGGACTCAACCATGTGCAGATGTGAGCTATCTATAGGGCCACGAAACGTGTGAGGAGTGTGCCGAAACGGGGGTGACGCTCACATGCGAACTGTGCCACTGGGGCCGTAGGGTGAGCTCCCTGTGGGGCCACGAAGCGTGTGAGGGGTGTGCCGAAACGGGCGTGGCGCCCACATGCGAACTGGGCCACTGGGCCTTACGCGGCTCTCCCATATGGGGCAACGAATCGTGTGAGGGCTGTGCCGACACGGGGGTGACGTCCACACGCGAATTCTGCCACTGGGGTGACGTCCACATGCGGACTGCAGCAACGGGACCGTCGGTGGAGCTCCCTGTGGGGCCACGAAACGTGTAAGAAGCGTTCCGAAACGGGGGTGACGCTCACAGTCGAACTGTGCCACTGGGCCTTACGTGGAGCTCCCTATGAGGCCACGAAACGTGTGCCCGGTGTGCTGAAACGGGGGTGACGCCCACATGCGAACTGTGCCACTGGGGCCGTAGGTGGAGCTCCCTCTGGGCCAAGAAATGTGTGAGCGGTGTGCCGAAACGGAGGTGACGCCCACATGCGAACTATGCTGCTGGGGCCTTCGGTGGTGCTCCCCATGGGGCCACGAAACGTGTGAGGGGTGTGCTGAAACGGGGATGACGCCCACATGCGAACTGTGCCGCTGAGGCCTTAGGTGGAGCTCCATATGTGGCCACGAAGCGTGTGAGGGGTGTTCCGAAGCGGGGGTGACGCCCACATGCGAACTGTGCTATTGGGGCCTTAGATGGATCTCTCCAGGGGGCCACGAATCGTGTGAGGGGTGTGTCGAAACGGGGGTGACGCCCACATGCGATCTGCTCGACTGGGGCTTTAGCTGGAGCTCCCTATGGGGCCATGAAACGTGTGAGGATGTGCCACAATGGTTAACATACGGAGGGCCGACACAGGGATGGAGGAGGGAGGAGGTGGGAGGAAGCAGGTGGGACGCGGAGCGCTGTCTCTTCAAAGCGAGGACCGACACCAGAGGATGGTTGGGAACTGAAGCGAAAGGAGGACCTATGGCTGCGCATGCTAAAAGAGCCGTGGCGGTTTTCTTGAGCGGAGGGCAGAGGCAGGGGTGAGCTGAGGCACGAGGGAGGGGGCAGCGTGAGGAGGAGGAGGAGGAGGAGGAGGAGGAGGAGGAGGAGGAGGAGGAGGAGGAGGAGGAGGAGGAGGAGGAAGGAGAGCGCGGGGCACCGCCTCTTCAAAGCGAGGACTTAGAACACCAGAGGACGGTGGGACAAACATCGTATCCTCGGAGGTCTGGGACGCGAGCATGTCTGGGTGTACAGTCGACCCGCATGATGAGGCTGGGCAACCTTCCCGAGGGGTGCCCCTGCATCCTTGCCCCTCCGTCACACCCTTGGCCACCTCCGCGGGCCGCGCCCAGGGCCCTTGCATCCTCATCGTGCATCCTTCTGCTGCGGATCGCCCGCAGAGATCTCGTCGCTCCACGGGCGGCGTGGGCCTCCGAGACCCCCGCGGAGGACGCCGAGTCGCCCAAGTCGACGCCGCCGCGGAGCCCGGCCCGGGCGGCCGCGGCCCTGGAGGGCGAGGCCGAGGACCCCGCCGCGGTGTGAGCGGGCTCGGGGTCTCCGGGCGCTCCGCCGCAGGCAGTGAGGCCGCGGCTGTGTCCAGATGCGGCGGCGGGCGAGGGGGGGAAGCGAGAAGGGGCGGGCATTCTCAGAAGGCTCGGAAGCCCCCCCCTGCCTTTTCCGAGAGGTGTTCTAGGCCTCCCCCGAAGACACAGAAGACTCTTCTGAGAGGGCGCAGGGGCTTCTGAGGAGTCCCGCCGCGCGAGAAGGCCTTCTCCTTCTCACTTCCCCCCCTCGCTCGCCGCCGGCAGATGGCCGGCCGAGGCTCCAGGGATAGACAGTCGAAGGAGAAACTCAGGAGAGAAAAAGGTACCCCTACCCCTACCCTTCCCTCGTTTTCCCCCTCTTTGGGGGGCCCTCTTCGCCACCGCTGGGTTCGCCTCGGAATTCTGGTCATAGCGCACCCCAGGAGAGGTCCCAGGAAAAGCGGTATTGTTTTTCTGGGGGGGTTCCCTTTCCAGGGACGGCCAGTCGAAAAAATATACGACTGCATAAGCATAAATTCTGGAGCTCCGCGCGGAGCTCCACCAATCTGTGCGTTGTGCTGTTTTTCCAGGGCCGCCAACTTGTCTGCTCGGTGCTTGCCCGATCCCGAGTGCCCAGGCGGGCAGGTCAGGGCGGGGCCCCGGAACGGATCCTGGTCGGAGTGGTGGGCTTCCGCGCACGCGAGCCCATCCAACGTCGGACACGTGACGGCTCGTTCGGGGTGCCGTCCCTGCGTTTTTTGCTTTGTTTGTTTTTTGCTGTTTTTTGTTTTGTTTCCCTCTCCGAGGGGTGGTGCGGTGGAGCCTGGCCACGGGGGTCCGCGGCGTCCTGAGCGGCCAGGGTCGGGGCGCTGGGGCGAAGACCAAGAGAGAGAGAGAGAGAGAGAGAGAGAGGAAGGAAGCGACAGGGGACGAGCAGGAAAGGGGGAAGCAGGAGGGACAGGGGCCCGAGATCGAAGCAGGGAGAGAAAGGGAGCGAGAGCAGAAAGGAGAGAGAGCGAGGGGGAAGAGAGAGAGAGCGGACGAGGACGAGACAGAGAGGGACTGGGGGGGGGACAGTCGAGGGCCCAGGAGAGGGCTCGCGCGTGGGCTGCCTCGGGGTCCAGGGGGCCGCTCCTCCGCGCGCGGGGGGGGGGGGCGCCTCGCGCCCTCGGGCTCGACTCGTTTCGGGCCCTCCCGGCCCGATCCAGGCTCGGTCGCGGAGGGTAGTGCGGCAGGGAAGCCACGAGTCTGGGCACGGGCCCGTGCGGAACTCTCGCGGCTTCGCTCTCCGGAGGGGGGCGTCAGAAGCAGAGGCGGTCCGAGCCAGGCCAATCTTGCACGATCTCCGCTGTCGGGTGGCAGAGATCGTTCAGGATGGAGCGATCTACGCGGTGTCAGAAACCAACGTCCGCGTGGTCACGACAGGACTCAGCCGTATAGCGTATCCCCCCGATTTCCCTCATTCCCCTCCCATTGCGGCTTCTCTGTCTCGTCCCCCCGCCTTTTTTCGGCACGGCTGGCTACTCCTGGCCTTTCCGCCGGCCAATCAGGCGGCCCAGGATTCACGGCGTGCTGGCCTCTCTTGGCACCGCAGTGCCATCGGAGAGGTAAGCTGGGCACGGTCGAGACTTTTTTCGCAGTGCCAGCCAGCGTCGGTGCGGTGCTAGCGTTCGCATAGCGGCACCACCTTTGTTGTGAAAGTTCATGGCCGAGGCTGATCGTCGGGCCACACGAGCCGCATAGGATCAGCTTGAGTAGCGACATGCTATTGCTCCCTATTTCTTTCTTTCTTTCTTTCTTTTTTTTTTTTTTTTTTTTTTTTTTTTTTTTCTCTCTCTCTCTCTCTCTGGAAAAATATACCCCCGGGGGACGAGACCCGCTGGCCGGGCCCAGGGACCACCGCCCTCCATGGGGGGACCAGGATCCACATACCGTCACCAGATCCCTTCCAAGCGCTCCAGGCCGGGAAGGCAGCCCCACGTGGCCCCCCAGATCGCTCCCGAGCGCGCTCCAGGAACGTTCCCCTGTAGCACCTCTGCGCCCCATTCGGCCCCCGCGGCGTTGAGGACGGCCCCGGGAGCCGCGGGGCAAGGGGGCCCCGGCCCAGGGACCCCTCCGCGCTCCCCGGGGGGCCCACCGCCCCTCGAACGTCTCTGGACGGCTCGGCGAGAGATCCCGGGCGGCACAGCAGGGGCTCCGGATCCGCGCGCTGGTGGGTCCCATGCGCCCGAAGACGCCCGAGGTGGGCCCAAGACGGCCCAGGAGGCCCCTGGAGCGCTCCAAGCGAGACCAAACGAGCACGCATGGTCTCTTCGTTTCTCAATCTAGAACTCCCGGAAATCCCGATGAAAACACATGGTTTCCGCACCCCGGACATAGCAAACCCTGTGTTTTCATTTGGATTTTTGGGATTTCTGTGATGAGAAGTGAGGAAATCAAGTGTTTTCATTCGGATTTGTTTTGCTGATTCTTGGGATTCTGGGGATCAGAGCTCCTGGGAGGGCTCTTGGGTTGGACTATCGCTGGAGGCATGGAATTTAAAGCATCAAAACATTTCCGAACAAAACGCATGGTTTCCTCACTTCTCATCCCCCAAATCGAAACATCTAAATGATAACACATGGCTTCTACACCCCTGACATCGCAAACCCTGTGTGTTTCACATGGATTGTGTTGGGTGTCTGGGAGAGAGAGATAGAGAGAGAGAGAGAGAGAGGGAGAGGCATACCTACACATATATATATATATATAGAGTGAGAGAGAGAGAGAGAGAGAGAGAGAAACGACACAACATAACAAACATATGATACACACACATATATATATATATGTATATATATAGAGATAATGCGAACGAGAGAGAGAGAGAGAGAGAGAGAGACACAGAGAGAGAGAGAGAGAGAGAGAAAGAGAAAGAGAGAGAGAGAGAGAGAGAGACAGAGTTAGAAAGAGAGAGAGAGAGAGAGAGAGACATAAACACATATATATATAGAGAGAGAGAGAGAGAGAGAGAGAGAGAGAGAGAGAGAGAGGGAGAGAGAGAGAGAGAGAGAGCGAGAAAGACAGAACGAGAGAGAGAGAGAGGGAGCGAGTTTGAGAGAGAGAGAGAGAGAGAGAGAGAAAGGAAAACAGATTCCAGGTCCAGCTGATTACAATTCGATTCCTATTGGAACATGGTTGAATTATTTGGGAGGGGCGGAACCTAGATTTAGCTGATGATTCGGTTACTCTTGGGACCTAGTAAACCCCAATGAGACTTGAGCAGATCCCAGACACAGCTGATTCAGAATGTATTCCTATGGGAATCAGCCAAGAATCGAATTGACATGATGCAGATCCCAGATCCAGCTGATTCGAAATGGATTCCGATAGACATCTAATTATTATCGAATTCGAATTGAGCAGATCCCAGATCCAGCTGATTCCCAATACATTCCTAGTGGGATTTAATTCGGATCTACTTGGGGTGGAGCAGAACTCAGATCCGGGTGTTTCAAGGCAGAAGTATTTTGGAATTTTATTGAATCTCAATTGAAATGGAGCAGTACTTCGTGTTCTATTGGGGCTGAGCATTGGAAGTGAGCGAGCAGACCACGGGTCCAGCTGGTTCCAAATAGATTATGGTTGAAATGGCATTCGAATCTAATTGGAATTGTGCAGATCCCAAACCCAGCTGATTCCAATTTGATTCCTATTGGAATCGAACTACCCAGCGGAATGGAGCAGATCCCAGATACAGCTGTTTGCAATTGGATTCCTGTTTGGATCGAATGAATTTTAATTCGATATGGACAGATCACAAACCCAGCCGATTTCAATTGGATCTCTATTGGAATCTATTCTAAGTCTAGTTGGAAATGAGCAACTGAGCAATCCCAGATTCAGCTGATTCCAAGTGGATTTCGATTGGAGTCGATTTGCAATCTAAGTGGAATGAAGCGGATCCCAGATCTAGCTGTGTCCAAGTGGATTCTTATTCAAATCTTATTCGAATCTGATTCGAATTGAGCAGGTCCCAAGTCCAGCTGATTCCAAGTAGATCCCAGCACGAGAAAGCAGCGGAGAAATGACGAATAGGAAAGATGGATGAGCAGGCACGGATGACAAGAAGGCAGATTATCAGTAAGAGTACGAATGGAGAGTTCAGAGACCGATGCAAATGAAGGGGTGCTGGGGTTGGGGCTGCGCACACATATATACATACATACGAACACACATACATACATACATACATACATACATACATACATACGTACACACATACATACTTACAAACATACACACATACATACATACATACATACATACAGACACACACACACACATACATACATATATACATACATGTATGCATACATACATACATACACACATACATACATACATACATACATACATACACACATACATCCATACATACATACATACATACATATACACATACATACATACATCCATCCATACATACATACGTACATACGCACATACGTACATACATACATACATACATACAAACAAACATACATACACACTTATATACATACATACATACATACATACATACATACATACATACATACATACATACATACATACATACATACATACATACATACATACATACACACACACATTCATACATACATGCATACATACATACATAATACACACCTACATACATACACACATCCATCCATCCATCCATCCATCCATCCATCCATCCATACATGCATGCATGCATGCATGCATGCATGCATACATACATACATACATACATACATACACACACACACATACATACATGCATGCATGCATGCATGCATGCATGCATGCATACATACAGACATACTACACACACGCATGTCTGTCTCTGTACATATCGACATCTATATATACAGATGCATGTGTGTATATAAACACACATATTCCTATCTTTTTTGGGGGGGGGGCCAGGGATCTCGAAAAAGCTTACCCGCCCTGGCGAATGTGGCCCACCCCGGGCCTCTCGGGCAACCCTCC